TGGAGAAGACTCCTGCGAGTCCCCTGGACTGCAAGGCGATCAAACCGGTCAGTCCTAGAGGAGATCAACCCTGACTGCTCTTTAGAAGGCCAGATCCTGAAGTTGAAACTCAAGTACTTTGGCCACCTAATGAGAAGGAAGGACTCACTGGAGAAGAGCCTAATGCTGGGAAAGATTGAGGGCAATAGAAGAAGGGGACAACAGAGAATGAGGTGGCTGGATGGAGTCACTGAAGCAGGAGGCGTGAGCTTAAATGGACTCCAGAAGATGGTAGAGGACAGGAAGGCCTGGAGGAACATTGTCCATGGGGTCGCAATGGGTCAGACACTACTTCGCAACTAACAACAACAACAATGGGGCTATTTCTTTCCCCTGAACCCTGGAAGCAACGGCTTGGAATCCATGACACCATTGGCCAACATTATTACAACATTTGTTATACAATAGATTTAACAGATTGGATGCAGTTCCTAGCTAAAGTGGAATATCTTAGGCTAGTTGTCCTGGGGCCAGAAAGGGGGACCACCTTTCTGAACATTTTTCCCCCAAGTGCTTTGTCATAAACACACGCATGCAAGTGGAAATCCTAACCTGGACCACTGACCACTCGGTTTAAGAAAAAAATGAGGACTTTGTATGGGATTCCTTTTTGGGGGGAGAGGTGGGAAAGAACCAGATAAGTTGTTTCTGTGCTTCTAAAGCTTTCATGCTCAAGGAAGGGGCCAAAGGCAGGGCAGCTGAGCTACTCTCTTACCCCTAAAGATGATCTCTCCATGGCAAGGTTGAGGCACAATGGTGAGGCAATGCGGGAATGTTTGTGGTACTGTTGCCTCCCAGCTTGTATCTGCTCTATAAATAAATACAGGACTTTAGTTGGCGGAGCTGACATTTTGGCACCTTCCATAAAGACACAAACATATGGGATTTCAAAGAAGAAAAAAAGAAGACAACAGGCATTATTTAATATATTTTTAAAAAACAACAACAACAAGACCACCCTGTATTTCAACGTCCTCGTCTCCACCAGTATCCACTGAGAGCACCTAACACTTTCATGCCTCTATTTTGACCTCTTTTCTCTTATTCCCCCTTGGTCTATGTTTTATACTCCCTATTCCATACAGTAGTGGCCAAAATTGTGGAAACCTTTTGGGAAAAGTGTATTTTTGAGGTTTGATGGCTAATAACACCACTTTTGGGGGGAGTAGTACCATAAAATTATATATCAACGGAAAGATAATTTAATCAAGAACGTAATGCAACAAAGTTTGTTCAATTATCTGTACTTTGTTCTATGAAAAATTATAGCCAAATAATCAGAAAAAGGAAGCACAACTTGCTCAGGTTGATCTCAGGTAGCTTTCCTTCATCCGATTGTAGCCAATGAGCGTGAGTGCTTAGAGAGCCAATCGGGTGTCATCTTGTTTTGGCAATGAGCCAATCAGGTCACAGTAGGATTCAGTTATTGATGTCATGTATTGAAGCTGAGAGGAGGACATTTGTCAGTGTGTTATGTGATGGCTATCAAGTTGGTTGGGTTTTTTTGTGTTCTTTCATTTAGTGAGCTTGTAAAACCTAATAAAATTAAAGTCATGGTGCAAAGAGTTGACAGGTCACCCAGAAAGCAATGCAAAATAGTATTATGAAGTGAACAAGGCTACAGTTATAAAGAAATTAGAAGAAAAATTGGTGAAAACTTAACCAAAGGTGGCATTTCTACTGTACACTTTTCCCAAAAGGTTTCCACAATTTTGGCCACTACTGTAGCTGTGATAAGAATAAAAGTTATGGACCTCTTTCGGTGTTTCTTGATGACAACGGTTGCTGCTCCACCACAACTCAAGGGCGGCCACCAGACAGGCCAGGAGCAGGCCGATGGCTAAGATGCAGAAGACCCCTGCAAAACTGTGCAACTTCAAGGCTTTCCCATCCGTCTGGGCATTGGTGTGGCTGTTCAGGTCACAGCGTCCCATCCGTGGCCACCATTTCTCCTTGAAGACATCCAAGTACCCGGCTTCTTGTAGTTCTAGAATCCTGTAGAAGTTCGATCAGAAGAAACCAGAAGCTGAGAACGCTGACACAAAGCAGTGGGTAACAGAAAAAGTCAAAATTGAAAATTGGCATGAAATGTAAAATGGTTTTTCTTTGCATGGTTAATATAAGATAAAAATGTTGGACAGTTGGATGCAGGCATCCTAATATTGGTTTGGGTTAAAAAAATATGTTACTATAATCAATGCTGGTAGAGGTACAGGTGGCTTTGGAGAACCATGTTGTTAAGACACAATTCTTTTGACTTTGACTCTTGAAACCTATCCATGATCTCTGCCTGTTTCTGAAGCGAACCCCATAGATGGGTGTGCAAATTCTACTGGTTCTTAGAACTTTTGGCAGTACACAACGATACATCTATAATCATAAAAGTCAACCAAGCAAGGAATGTCCTCTAAGCAGGAGTTCCCGTTTAGATGCAATTATTTTTTAATTTTAATTTGCTAGAGCAATGATTAGAAGTCCTGGTTTTTTTTTGGTTTTTTTTTGAGGACATGAGGAAGGTTGATACCCCATTCTTTGGTTGTTTATGAAGGAAACCAGTTTGCTTATGAGGAACAGTAGAACAGCTCTAGGGTGATGTTGACAGATTGGTTCAGGATCACCCAGAAGTGTAGCAAGGTTACCCATAGCTCTGCAAGATGTGGGGACATATTTTGAGATTTTTATAGAATTGCTTGTCACGTTATTTATGGATATAATGACCCATTTGATATCAAATGATGCAGTTTTGAGAAACAATTTTGATCAACTTTGCGAGTCATGGTGTAGTGCTGAAGCAAACATTGCATCTAACAATTCACTATGCCAGCTGACCAAGAGTAGATCATACACCACCACTAATGGTGCATGACTGTTATTCTTAGAGCTCTCAGTCGTGGCATTACAGGAGCAACAAAGGACACAGCTTAGCTACACAGAGGTGCTGTTTATAAAGGATACTCAATCTTTGCTTTTGCTCTTAATCCATTACCTTTGCGAGAAGAGATCCCTGTATGGGCTGCCATGTTGGAGAGCCAGCCCGTACCCTTTGCTACTGACGCTATTTCCAATCACGGTCACAGAGCACTCATCGTCTGTCAAGGCTGCGTATTCTATCACAGCCACATCCCACAGGAATGCATAGTTGCCTTTCTTGGCCTGCAAAAAAAGATAATAGAAAATAACTTTGAAAAATAAGTCACGTACATCCAAGCCTGCCCTTTCAGAACCGATCCACACCAGTTAGCATCCAAAAGCTCTCCAATTCTCAAGTTTTCCTCAAGTTCTCGGACTCCAGTGCTCAAAAATCATTTTTTTCTCCTGTCCTGAGAGATCTTCCTCCAAATCAGCTTACATATAAGATTTTGGATGTGTTATCTAAGTTCTAGGAAGAGTTCAAAACCCCATGGTTCTCTTCCCCTCTCTTCTAAAGCTGATTGCCCCAGTCTGATTGGCAAACATCGGGAAGATACGCCTCTTTTAGATGGTTATTTTTTTTATTTTAAGGACCCAATATGTCTAGTCTTGCCAATCCTAATCTTGTAATGTAGTGCGGCACAATGCAATGTTACCAGCTGATGACTGGAAAGACAGAGCAAGGATTCTCCCTGGCTAAGCAAAAGGGAGATTTATTCAGATTACATAAACTGTCCCTAAACATCTGCCAGCATCTCAAGTAGGCCAGACAGAAAACCCGACAAAATGAGCTAATTCTATTTTATTGCAAGGCTACATTAACAGAATCTTACAAGTCTGAAAGTACAAATCTCCCACCATTTCTTTTTAGCGCCTGGTAAGATAGGCTGGATCCCTTTTAAGATTCTTCCTCTGTCTGTTATGCAGCTGTGGGCTCACCCTCTCTTATCAGATTATGCTCTAGGCAATATTTCCAAGGTCATTCTCGAATCCCATTACAGCTTCACAGAAGCTCTTCCCAAATGCTGGCTTAGAAATTCTGTAAAGTTTAATTACTTAACAATATTATTAGGTTTATTTGCCGCCCATCTCGCCTCGGGTTTGGAATTCATTCTCCAATTCTTGGAAAGAATAGAAAAATGGAAGGCACAAAAAGATATCTACCTTAATGAACGTGGTAACATAATGCAGCCTTTAATTAAAGTTGATGGATTACCTTAACGCTACGAAGTAAAACAGCTCATCATAATAAAGCCTGAAACCAGTTTTTATTTCAAACAAATAGCATGTTTTCATTATCAGAAATTCGAGAAGCGGTAAGCTGTTACAGAAAGCCTTCACCGAATGTCATGGCAGAGGCAAAAAAACTGTATTTTCCCACTAGATTCATTTGGCTAATATTGGCTTATATTAGTACACACCTACACAGCTCATCTGCAAATGTCAGCCTTAATTGGGATTCTAAACAGTGCCTGCAGGCTGTATGTTTGTAACAAATGTAAATAATTTCTGCTATCTTAATATGTAAGAAATGTCTCTGGATGGGAATTCATGAGGAAAGGGAAAAAAGATCACTTCGCTTGGTTAAAATAATCATTGACTTCCTAATGCATTTAAGTAATATGTTGTTAACTCTCTAGTGAATGTGCAAAGCGCACAGGAACAGATGGTCTGGAGATTCTAATGCAAATAAATGAGGAATCATAAATGCAGACTTCCAAGGTATTAAACAAAAGTTTTATGTATTTTTTCAGCCTGGGCCTTGGGACCTTGAATTTTAAGTGAATTCTTAAAGAGTGCGTCATCATAAGCACAAGGGTCTCTTTTTCTTTGAATTTAGGCACTGAGTATTTTTTATCAGAAACTGAGAAAAGATGCTACTTTAACCAGGTAGCTACAGTACTGCTGAAAATAACAATCACTAAATAAGTTCTCCTGTCCTCTTTTATAAGATGTGAAACAATGCTATGATACCACACCACTTTGTACTTTTTTATTGAACACCACAATCATTACAAGTATTTAATGAATTAAGAGTTTACATGGTAGGGTCTACTAGTAATTTAAATAAATAACAGCCATTATCATCTAAAACATGAAAATATAATATCCTTGATCTTCTCAATATTTGCATGTTTTTTTGCACTGCTCAGGCATGGCAATAATGCCAACTGAGTTGTAAGTGGAAAGAAGCATTCTCTCTGGAATATCCAGAAATGTTTGGTCTGAGTAGGAATCTACACTTTGTTTTAAAGTTTCCACTGCACTGCAGCAAGTCAAAAGCAGATAGGAAGGAGACATTCATGCATCCTCGTTTTATTTCTTTTTCCTGTCTCATATACAGAAAACAGAAATCCTAAACAAACACTGAGTGGCTATTTTGAGATTTCCAGTCCACTTATTGATCAATACCAGGGCATCAATTCACCTTGACAAGCCTTTCCATCCTATGAAGACACCATGTTCACAAGTAGGTTTTAAGAATGTCCATGTTTTCAAGGCTAATGGATGCTAAGTGAAGATAAAATGGTTCCCTCTTAGATTCCAGAAACATTAGAAGCTCTGTGCATTCCCCTTGCTTTTATGAAAAGTCTCCACACACATATGCAGCCTATAAAACAGCACCATGAGTCATGTTAAAAAATATATCACATAGTCTACTATAAGAAGCTTCAGTAAATAGTCCATGATTTTTTTTCCATCTAAAGAAATACATCTTCTCTTCCATTTTCTAAAGGGAAAATGGCTTTGGTCTGAAAAACCACAGTTTCCAGACATGAAAAAAATAAAAGCTACAAAGGATGACATTTACAACATGAATGTTACACATTAGGACCACAATCAGACAATCAAGACAAATTAGGTCTAACAATCAGATTTAGTTTGACAGTATCGGTATCTAAATTTAGATAGCCTTCTTATTCTTCAACAGTTTGCTAAATGGTCTAAAGGTTTTTTTTTTAAACTGTTTGCCAAGATGATAGTGAAACATTAATGCTAAATAAATATCTATAATAAATTGATGTTTGCCTTATAAAAAGGGTCTTGTTTTATACACTTATGAAAATGTATGAGTTCATTTATCTGACATAATAGAGAAATGCTAAATAGTCGCACAGGCTTCTTAATGGCCTACTTATTCATTCAGTAAACGTATTTCGTAGCATATTTTATTAGCATAATTTGAAAAAAGGAAGCTAAAATTTTCTGCGTTTGACACAAGACATGTGGGAAGTGGATCCTCAGCCACTTCCCAAGATCCAGCATGTTACACAAGTTGGCATGTTAGACAAAAGCTGCGCAAACAACACAAAAATCCTTGGAAAATATAGACCCAGGTTACTTTAACTAAAATTATATTTGAAAAAAAATTCAAAAGCACCCAACCTACTACATTTTTAGTAAGTAATATAAGGAGTAGGATTCAGATATCCTGTTTTCTATTTTTGTGGTGTTACTTTGAAATAAAAACTGGTTCTCCTTTGCTCTCAGTGGTTGTAAGGATACGCAACTAGCTCAACTAAAATCTGAACTCAAATGTGTTTCCAAGTAAACGAATACAGTTTGCCATCTACCTGAATAGATGAGAAGGTTTTAATCCATCAGAGGGATCTCCTCATTAGATCACCATCAGTTGTCTTACTCCAAATGGCTTTTTTTTTCAAATGAAACCATAAGCTTCTTAGAGAGTAAGAGGATGGAGACATGAAGCTCACTGTGAGCATAATGGAGTTTGGAAAGCATAATTATGATACTGCTAAATTCTGCTAAATTCTCAAAACAAAAATCACAGGCAGGATGTAGATGTAGTCAAGATATTATTCTGGAAAAGGATGGTGGTTCCCCCCTCCCTCTGTAGGAACAAACTGTTACACTGGGATCATATGAAGTACACAATCTTATAACAGAATAATCTTCAGTGCAAACATATCCAAACGTATGAAAGGTTTTTTTAAAAGGCCTTTTAAAAGGTGCTTATTTCATTGTAGCAATTAAACCCTGAGCTCTTTTTCCAAGGGGAAAAAAACCACAATTGTATGCATATTTTTTTAAACACAACTATGAGATTTCTCCCATTGAAAGCAACACTTGGTATTTTCCAAATGAGACTCTGGACCTTGGGCCAAGTTGGAAATGATCTGTCTCCAGATGATCTGGTGACAGAAGATTTCTGGAGCATGTTGGACCATGTCTGCACAACCTTGTTATTTGACTTTTTTCTCCTCTACTCTAAGGGGGCATATTTCCCTTTGCTGTGCTGTTATGCATGCATTGTTGTGTGTACACCACACATCGGGAAAGGAATGCTTTGTCAACACATACAGCTTGGCATATGTACCAAAAATGAATTTCAATAAACAATTACATGGAAATGTACAAATAGCGCCTACGTTCAACTAAAATCTGCCTAGTTCTTACTTATTTCCCAGTATTTAGAGAAGCAAAAAATGACAATGCCACAGTGAGAAAAAAATAATAATTTAAATGTTTGATGGCAGGACTTCAGATCTGCAAATGAACGGATCAGGAAATGCAGTTATACAAAGGTGTGCTCTAAAGCTATTTAAGGTCAAGGGAGGATTCTAACTGAATTCAATGGCGCAAGAATCAAATTTACGAGGCAGAACACTTTCAACAAGTATTTGAATGTTCCCACTCACTTTTCTTTCCCAAGGAGAACCCATGCAGACAATGTCTTGCAAGCGACATTTTCTAAATATGGAATCTGATCACGTACTATTCGCTCGCTGAATACATGCAAATGATTATCAGAGTGTTAGGAATGCTAGTAGCTCGCCCTGTGATTTGAAGAGTCGGTCGCACCGTCTTTATTATTCATTTTGGGCTAGAAAGATTAGACTTGCCATTGAAACTTTGCCTAAAGCAAATCTGGGATCCGCCCCCAGGCAAAACTTCTTTGGATTTCCAGGGGAAATCACTGCAATCACACAAAGCGACATTGATAGGTACCATGGTTCTGTGAAAAACAGATCTTTAAGGGAGTGGTTGAACTAAATGGATTGACACATTACAAGATCAGGGGTGAAAGGCATGGTAACGGAGGCAAACCACTCTTGATGGAGTTTAAGACTGGGAAAAAATGATGGGCAGAATCTTGATATTGTGCTATCAGCCCTTCATACATTAGAAAGGTTGTTTTCAATGTGCACAAAGGTTAAACAGAAATCTGCTTAATTGCATCCCAGAAACAGCTACAATACAGGGAAGCATTACAGAGGAAGTTAAAATGGGTAACAAGAGACGAGAGCTTTTTTTAAAAAAAAGTCACATTTTTTTCAAATGTAATATGAGATTGATACAGCTGTTGAAGTACAGTTGGAAACAAGGAATTCTTGCAAAAAAAAATGGCAGAACACCACTGACTGTCTGATTCCTTTCCCCTCTCAAAAATCTATCCAATAACCGGTATGTGTTATGCTGTGCATAAATTTGGCTTGCCGTTCATTTTTCTCTAAGCGTTCTTCCCAATTCTAATTATCTAGAGAGAGAGAGAGAGGGAAGACAAAAAAACAACAAAACAAAACGGAAGTATAAAAATGTTTCTGCTACGAACTCTTGGCATACAGAATAAAGGATTTCTAAATTTACAGGCAGCAGGTTTTTCAGATTTATTTTTTATACTGCAGCACTTTGCAGAGGGCAGATAGATATATTAAAATTTGCTACATGTACAAGATTATAAGGTTGGCAAGGAGCACCAACACTTAATAGGAGTTTAAGACGATAGACAGGGGCTCCGGAAAGGGTCATTGTGGATCACCTGCACTCAATTGTAGAATTTCTACATTTTCTGCAATCAGCTCACACCTTTCAGCTTCCTGCTGTAACTGCAAAGCCAGATGTGCCTTATCACTCTACACAGTTGCCCAGATTGTCTGTCACTGAAAATTTGTGCTTATTTGTGAGGCTAAGTGGAAATTCTCATTTCCACTATCCCGTTTCCACACTGTCTGGCATTCCCAGCCCTGTCTTCCTGTTTGATTGACAACCTAATTGATCAAGTAAACATGTCCCGGGACTTTCCCTCTGATCGCGATGTGTCAAAATGCAACTCTGAATGTTTTCATTCCTGCAAAAAGCCCAAGCTTTGGGAAGGAAGAGAGGAAAAGAACCAACATTTCTTGGTGCATGTTTCTTTTTCCAACATTTCTAACATAAGTTGATTTTTATTTGCAACCATTACTACAACAGGCAGGCTACTGACCATGATACATGCTTGGATAAATCTCTGGAAAGGCTACAGCATGCTGCCAACCATAAGGTGATTTTGAGTAAACAAATGGTTACAAATAATTTGTAATAAATGGTCCATGGCTTGAGAAAACAATTGTTGCAATGATTTAGAGTACTGCAATTATTATTATTATTATGGCTGCTAGATTGACAGCAGACTCCACCCCCCCATTTTTTTACTAGTCATATTGATGTATTTTCTTTGGGTTTTTTTACTTTGTTTTATTGTTCTATTATTTTACTTTCGCTTTGTTTAAACTTCCTTTTTCTTTATTTTTTTCATTGTTGTGAGCCATCTAGAGCAGGGTTTCCCAACCAGGGGTGCAAGACAATATTCCAGGGAGTGCAACAACTTGGGTTAATAATAATAATAATAATAATAATAATAATAATAATAATAATAATAATAATAATAATAATAATAATAATAATAATAATAATAATAATAATAATAATAATAATAATAATAAAGTTGGAAGGGACCTTGGAGGTCATCGAGTCCAACCCCCTACTCAGGCAGGAAACCCTATACCATTTCGGACAAATGGCTGTCCAGTCTCTTCTTAAAAACTTCCAGTGTTGGAGCATTCACCGCTTCTGGAGGCAGGTTGTTCCACTGGTTAATTGTTCTCACTGTCAGGAAGTTTCTCCTTAGTTCTAGGTTGCTTCTCTCCTTGGTTAGTTTCCATCCGTGGCTTCTTGTCCTGCCTTCAGGTGCCTTGGAAAATAGCTTGACTCCCTCTTCTTTGGGGCAGCCCCTGAGAGATTGGAAGACTGCTATCATGTCCCCCCTCGTCCTTCTCTTCATTAAACTAGACATACCCAATTCCAGCAGCCGTTCCTTATATGTTTTAGCCCCCAGTCCCCTGATCATCTTTGTTGCTCTTCTGTTAGAATCCCTCTTCTATTATAGTGTAGATGCATAATTCATTTTGAACTTTTGTAAGAGGTGCAAGAATATATCCGAAGCGTTCTAGGGGGTACGGGGTATAGAAAAGATTGGGAACCACTGATCTAGAGTAACCCCATGGCGAGACAGGTGGCAAATATATTTAATAATAATCCTAATTATTAAGATCAATCTCTACTCCCAAGAATTAATCTCTGACTATTTTTTTTGCACAGCATCAAAGGGATTTGTATTATTTTGGATGAAAATATCGAAGACCTAAATCCTGCATGCGTCTTACCTTCCTGATACCTTCCGAAGGGTTTGCTACGCAGTTATCGGCTCCGTTGTTCTTACTGATGGTCTTCCACATCTCAGCAAAAGTGCTGTCTTGCTCTAAAGGGTTGGTGCCTTTCGCTCTGAAGTACTCATAAACGGCTGAATCTCTGACTGTGCCATAAGAGATGTCCATTTGCTTGGAAAGGTCCTGAAACGTTCTGAAACACAAGAGGAATCGAAGGATTATTGGAAGGAGGGGAAAGACGTTGGCTTTATGGGCTGGAAAAAAAAAAGGTTCTGGTTTTCCGCAGGAAGAAAATATCACAACTCCCGTAATCAATAATACCACTTGTTTTCATTTGATTCCCCCTCCCTTTTTTTCTAATTAAAAGAAGTGTTGTCCTGTCTTTTTGTTGGGCAAGAAGACAGGGCAACCATGAGAAAATTCTAGTGATCAGAGGCTGCACTCAACCATCTGGGAAGGGAAGATGGCAAGGGTCTACCTCAGGGGTAGGCAACCTTGGCTCTTTTATGACTCGTGGACTTCAACTCCCAGAATTCCTGAGCCAGCCACGCTGAGGGGAAAGGGAGATGTTTCCAAGCTGAGCCATGCTGGCTCAGGAATTCTGGGAGTTGAAGTCCACAAGTCATCAAAGAGCCAAGGTTGCCTACCCCCGAGGTAGATCATTGGCATCTTCCCTTTCCAGATGGTTGAGTGCAGCCTCTGAGCCAAGGTTGCCTACCCCTGGTCTATCTCAATGAAGATAATTTTTCAAGTTCTTCTATTTGGCAGACTTTGTGTATAGATCTTCTTGTATGTGTTGATTTAATGTGATAAGCCTGCTGCAGAATATAGCTTTGTTTGTATTACTTGTTTATTTTTATTTGTATCCCAATTTTATTATTTTTTACAAATAATTCAAAGCAGTGAACATATCTGACCCATCTTCCTCATCCTATTTTCCCTACAGCAGCAAAACTGTGCATTGCGCTCTTTATATTTATTTATTTATTTGTATCCTGCCTTTATTATTTTTACAAACAACTCAAACCAATGGACGTGTCCCAAACCCTTTCCTCCTCCTATTTGCTCCACAACAAAAGCCCTGTGAAGTGAATTTGACCGAGAGAGAGAGGGACTGGCTTAAAGTCACGCAAATGGCTTTCACACATAAGGTGGGACTAGAACGCGTGATCCCTCATTTTCTAGGCTGGGACCTTTACCGCTAGAACCAAACTCGCTGTAGTTTTGCTAGATTTCCTGGACCGAAGAAGTTGGCAAGCGTACCAACACTTTTAAGTAGTCGTGGTCAAAAAGATCAGACTGGAAAGAGAAAAAAGGGTCAGGGTTAACTATGGAAAAGGTATCCACAGGTTTCCTACCCCTGAGGTAGGCTCCCCTGTTGTGTAACTCAGTGCTTTGTAGATTTAATCTCTGCAGCTGAGTGGCTTAGATTTTCTTTTTTGTACTTTATTATTAGACAATTTAAAGAGGATATATAAACATCAAAAAGGAAGCGAGAATAAAAAAAAAGTACAGCACAGCAAAGGATTTCAAATGTGATGGAAATTATAATTTTCCAGCATATCGTTAGTTAAGGATGAATCACTGAAGGTATTTTATCATTGTAGAGACCTGAAAACTGCTATTAAGCAATAAGATAAGCATGGATATCCACACTTGTAGTCAGCACACTATAACTAACTGCATGGTGTGATAAGAACAGTAAATTCAACCTATATTCTTGAGATTTAGACATCCCATAAAATTGAAATATGTACTCTGCGCATGGAGAAACCCAATTTTTCGATGTGGTACAAATGTATGTGTTAACTTGTAGTCTACGAAAGGTTTCCATTCTTAGTTTAG